GCTTCAAGAACAAGAAAGAGAGGACTTGTTGTCTGTGCTGCTGGCAAACTGGTATGGCTAATCCTGCCTTGTCTGGCTTACATGGTCAGATCAAACTATTTCTTGTATTTGACTTAAGATAAATGTTTACTTCCCTAATATTTTGCCACAAATTCCTGGGTGCAGGGGTGGAACACACCTGCTTTCCACAAGTCTGAGTATGCAGCTACATTTATGAGTGTTCTAGATTTTAACTTAATTAAGCACGTATTCAAAAGGAAACATTATTTTCTCTCCTAACAACCCAAGGATATGACACTTTCCACAGGAAGCAAAATATAAACAAGCTCATCTAGTAATATACAGGATTCGAATGGGGATAGAAAATCTGACTAAATGAATAATCTGACAGAATAGAATACTTGATGAGTCTTGAGATCAAATTTTGGTTTTGAAATAATATGTGGAGTTAATAAAATGTAACAGAAGTGAGCTGAGGATTTAAATGAGGCAGGACTTTTGGGGAGACATGATGTGAGATATATGACATATTTTGAAAACCAAATTTCCCAGAGTACTATGCATCTGCTAATTAATAACAAAATTAATCCATATTTCAATAAAAGTTGAATTGACATCTTGGTAAACCATAGGGATCTGACCACCTTTTCTTTTTACTGTTTATAATACTTTTTACTGTGTTTAGTGGAAACACCCTGTGTGTTATAGGCATTTGTAACACATAGTACTTGTGTCTACAGTGTAGTTGTTACATTTGTCAATGATGTATTGAGCTGTTAGGGGAAAAGTATATCCTGAAATTCTCTGGCCTGATGTAATGACTGTATTTGTTGGCTAGCTGTGATAAGCTGGCTGTTGGCTGGCTGTGATAAGCTCAGCTGAGAATTGAAGAGCTGTTGGACTGGTCCAATTACATGTACTCCAGCCAAGTCTCGATTCCTTTTGCAGAAGTACTGGAAAAGATGTAGTAAGAAAGCTAGTGTGATTGTCCACAGACCATTCAGGGAGTTGCTCAGGGCAAACTGAAGTGATTAGTTGAAGTGCCATCCATTTGGTACAGCTCAAGTAGGGGCTGAAGCTCTACCTGTTCAGCTGTCCAGTTGCTTTCTGATAGGTTTGAAGAAATTCAGAAGTCTGCAGTTTCTTTGAACCTTCAGTTGTATGTTCCTGAGGCTTGTAGCAACATGTATATTCTTGACACTTTTCATGATATTTTCAGATAAAAGCTTCTCAAAGCTGGTTCATATCCCAGTGTCAGTGCTTGCAGGTCAAGTTTGAGTCTCTGATGGCCACATCTCACAGCACTCCAGGGCCACTGCTGTGATGGAGAGTGCCCTGGGATGCCTGGGGAGGGAATTCACTTTGGTCTCCCTCAGCTATCATCTGTAATTGTGAGTGATGCTTCAGGTGTGGTTTTGGGGGGTTATTTGGATCACTGTAAAATTGGAAACATCAGGGAACCAGACTTCAGATTAATTCTTGGGAATGAAGAATAGTTGTGAGGTTTTCTGTTTTTTCCCTAACGCAAATCAAGGGCAGACCTGTGTGAATCTTGCCAGACGTGATGGTCATATATTACGTAAAGCATCACAGCAGGAGAGCTGCTCCTTGAACACTTTATCATGAAATTTTTTGAGAATGGTGTATCTAACATGCCATCATTTTTCTCTCTTTTCTGTCTGTCTGAAAAATGATAAGCCTTTTTGAGAAATGCTGAGCTAAGAAATGTACAGGTATCATGTAATATATTTGTGCATAATTCTTCAAGTCTCTTTGCAGGATCCTGAAATGTTAGAGATGTGAGACTTGTTTATTTCCAGAGATGCATTTTGCTTGATTCTTGTGTGGAATGTGTTTGTTCCACTAACACTGTTACCTCGATAGAATTGGAAAAGAAAACATTTGCATAACACTGAGAACTTGAGTGCATTTGGTTTTGATTCTGATCTCCAAACCTGCTGTAATAACAACTACATCCTTTCTGTTCTCTATAGTAACAATAAGAAGGTATGTGTAATAATATTCCCACGTCTCATCACAGAGCCTCAAAGGGAATTAAATGTACACTTTTGTCTGAGTATACTTTTCATAAATGTAATTTATGAATTCAATAAGTGATCTAGGTCTAGAAACCCTTCTTTGTGAAAATTTGTGCTAACTGCCCAATGCATGTGTCACAAGAAAAGTGCAGGCATGAGCCTGAAAACTAATTTTAAGAGTTTAACACCCTATTCTACTCTGATCTACACAGCTTCTGGGTGTTTCCACCTTTTCTTTCAGTTTATCTGCTGGCAAAGTTTTAGACTCTCCCAATATTTTAAATGTTTGGGTAATTTGTCACAATTCTCTCTTAGGTAGCTTGGGTTTTCTTTGGATGGAAACCCTCATGCAGAAAAGAGATATTTTTCACTAACAACATTGTTTTTGAGTGAGACAATGTGTAGTTCTTATTGATTTCAAATATATGCAGGCAGCTTGATCAATGCTCTATGCCTGAAGTACTGTGAAACAGATTGTGTACACATGTACATTTTCCAGGTGTAAATATCTCACTTTTTAAACAGAGTCCAACTTGTCAATTGTGCTTTGTCACTGAATGTAGTGAGGCAAGGCAAGAGTTCTGGTTTTTCAATAGCTTCGTATTGGCTGAAAATTTAGCCTTAGGTAATGAATAAAACGTGATCAGGAGAAAGTCCTATCAAAAGAGATAGAAAAACTGGCCAGTTAATATTACTGCTTTCTGATTCTAGCCTTGTGAATATATGTGATACTTTACTCACTGAAAATAGCTCCCAAAAGACTCCACAGCTAGTCAGCATGAATCCTTAACCCTGGATTTATTTCTTTTTCACTGTATGCTTCACCATATAATTTTCAACTTCATAATAGTTCTAGAAATACAAAATATGCAGAGGACATTGCATGTTGCTATGTTATTTATGTGCCTTTAAAAATAAAATAGCATGGCCTAAACAAGGGGTATACCTGATATTACCTTGAATTTACTATGATTTCTTTTTTAATGCAGTGTATTTCCTGCTTCATTGTCTCAAACTTTGAAACTAGAATATTAATTTAAAGTGGGAGCTAGGGAATGAGATGAAGTCTCACAAATAAAAAAGAGCAGAGCAGTATAATCAGTTCAGAGACAGAGGAAGCAGTCATGGCTGCTAAGCAGACAAGCATTAGTGAGTGTATGGAGCTGACACAAGGCAGGAGAGAATTCACTACATAAATACACAGCTTTGTATTATTAGTGCTGAAAAACACGTGCACTGTGAAAGCACAACCTTTTAAGAGGTTGAAATCATGAGCTATTGAATTAAAAGTGAATTCTAGTTTAAGCATGCATCCCAAGGTGGAAATATACCTCTCTGGAAGGCTTTAATAGTTCTCAGATTTTAGGGGATTCTGAATGCTTCTGTCTTTAGGAGGTTGGTAATTTTCTAGGGGAAGGTGGAGGTAAGATAGGAATTTTGACTGTTTGCACCATTCCTGTCTGATTTCCGTAATGTGCATGTGTGAATTGCAAATTGTGGTGCTGCTC